ACGCGGAGCGCCAGGACTAGGCGACCCCGGGTCATAACTCGTAGAGCTCCGACTCGTCGGCGTAGGACGCGACGGCCGAGTCCCGCGCCGGCGCCGATTCGCCGAAGTCGAGCGCGGCGACGGGCGTCGGCGCCGCGGCCGCGGGGCTCCGCGCGACGGCGTCCGCGAGCTCGAGGCCCGCGTCCTTGGAGCCGGGCCCGTCGTCGTCGAAGTGCACCGGGTTGTAGACCGGCGTCCGCGGCGACGCCGCGGCGCCGCGGCGCCCGAGCCGCGCGCGCGGCGCCGCGGCGCCCGCGGCCAGGTTCAGCGCCGCGAGCGCGGCCGCGAGGGCCAGGTTCGGCCGCCGCGGGTCGCCGCCCGACGCGTGGAGCCACCGCTTCAGGCACTCCGACGCGACGGCGGCGGCCAGGCCGCCGACGGACGCGCACGTGCCCGCGACGACGCCGAAGTGCTCCGGCGGGAAGAAGAAGCCCACGGACTCGTAGAGGTGCACGAACCCGAGGAGCCGCGCGGGCACGAAGAGCGCGACGGCGCCGATCTGCAACCGCCAGTCGCGCGCGGCGCTCAACACGCCCCAGATGACCTGGGCGAGCGCCAGCGCGGCGTAGCCGTGGCCGCACGTCCGCTCGAAGCCGCCGTCGTGCCACCGCTCCTCCAGGCGCGCGACGACGACGAGCGACGGCAGCGCGAGGGCCGGGAAGCCCCAGTCCAGTAGCGCCCCGAGGGTCTCGGGCCGGCCGTGCCAGGCCGCCTGCTCGCTGAACGTCGCCACGTAGTAGCCCTGCTGCGTGATGTTCGCGCCGACGGCGAGCGACGCCGCGAGGACGAAGCAGAGCGCGCGCCGGTCCAGCGCCGCGGCGACGTCGCGCGCGGGCCGCCGCAGGGGCCGCGGCGCCACGGCGCAGCCGCAGGCCGCGATGAGCGCCGCGCAGCACCCGAAGTAGACGCAGTGGAGCCCCGCGACGCCGAGCGACGGCGCCTGTGTGGAACTCAAATCTTCAACCCGACTTCAATGTGCGCGTATGCGACAGTTTCGATGCAAGCTCTGCGACGGTGCTTCGAGAACTCGACGAGAGCAATCGATTCGTCCAAAAATCAGCCGAATCGACTTCGATTTGACCGAGATAGAGAGGTTTGAAGTTTTGCTGGACGCGTCCATTCCACTGGTTGATTTCCACACAGGACGGCGCGGCGTCGTACGCGAGCCCGAGCAGCGGGAACACGAGCGTCCCGAGCGCGAAGGCCGTCTCCATGACCGGCGCCGCGACGACCTTGACGTCGAAGACGCGGCCGCAGAGCGCGACGGACCCCTCCGCGCCCTGGAGCGACAGGCCGCCGAAGCTCAGGAGCATGCCCGATTCGACGAGCGCGAAGTACGCGTACGCGAGCAGGTACTCGAGCCGCGCGCGCGTCACGACCAAGCCGAAGCACACCGCGCCGAGGCCCAGCAGGCCGCCGCTCAGGAAGCAGACGCGCCGCAGGCCCAGCGCGTCGATCGCGCAGCCGTTGACGATCGCGAAGACGTTGAGCATGCTCGAGGAGAACGTCCACGCGAAGTCGAGGCGGTCGAGCTGGGCGCCGCAGCGCGCCTCGCCGCCGTCGCAGGCGTCGAGGAAGAGGCCCTCGATGAGCAGCACGCGCTTGATGCCGTTGAACCCGAAGCAGGCGCCGCCCCAGAGCACGCCGAGCACGGCCATCATGACCAGCGGCCGCCCGGCGCCGGACGCGCCGGCGCACGCCGCCATCGGTGCGGTTGTGCGCCGCCCGCCGCGGCGGCGCGCGCGGCGCGTGCGAGGACTGCGCGACGACGCTCGACGCTCACGGCGGCGCCGCCAGGGCTCGACCCATGTCGTCTCCGGCTTTCGATTTTGCGATTTTTTTTTTTTTTAGCGGCTAAATCCGATGGGGGCTCCGTGCAGGCTCTCATCATCTGGCTCTCGCATGCTCGCCGCGTCGTGCGCCGTCGTCGCCGCGATGGCATCGGAAGACATCTGCACGAGTCCCAACGTGACGCTGTCCAATCGGCGTCGAGATTCC